CAGACAATATGATTAGCTATGTAGAAACCCAACAGAAACAACAAAAATGTGTTAGACATAGGAACAGAATTTAATGGGTTATACAGAAAGCATTTATATTTATAGACACCAGCAACAAATAGAAACTTTATAATGTTAGACTATACCATTTACCATAGCAACAGAAAATAATTTATTTCAAAGAACCATACAACTTTGTGGAGAAAATTATAAAATTTTATTAAAAGACAATAAAGAATACCTATATAAATAGATATCCAATGTCCATTGTTAGAAAGATTTGATATTATAATAAGAACAAAAAAACAATAATAGACAAGACAAAGAAGAAGAGGAAGGGGAAAGAGATGAGCAGGAGGTGGGGAGAGAGGTGGGGGAGGAGAAAGAAGATGGAGAAGAAGGTGGTGGTATAAATATTTACTCTACCAGTTAATACAAAGCTATACTACCCAATACAGAAGGTTATTGACTTAAGTGATGGATAGAAAGACCAATAAAACAAATTAGACAGGCCAGAAACAGACCCAAAGGTATCCAGAACTTAATATGTGAGAGTGAGCATTACAAATCTATAGGGAAAGAAGAGGACCATTATTCAGTGGATGGTGCTGATTCTGGAAAAAAAAAAGTAAATCCCAGGTGGATTATGTGGTAGCTAAGTTTTATAGTTTCTAAAAGAAAATATAAGAGACTATCATTAAGATTTCTGTGGCTAGATGGACTTCTTAAGATACAAAAAGTGGAGGGACACTTGGGTGGCTCAGTCGGTTAAGCATCTGCCTTCGGCTCAGGTCATGATTCCAGGGTCCTGGGATCAAGTCCCAAGTCGGGCTCCCTGTTCAGCGGGGAGCCTTCTTCTCCCTCTGCCTGCTGCTCCCCCTGCTTGTGCTCTCTCTCTCTCTCTGTCAAATAAATAAATAAAATCTTTTAAAAAAATACAAAAATTGGAAACAGTAAAGGGAAATTTGTTATGTTTGATTAAATTAAAAATGTTAACTTCCATTTTGCCCATAACTATAGAAAATGAAAAGAAAATCCACATCAGAGAGAAAATATTTGCAAAACATACAATGGGCAAAAGATTAATACCCAGAGTATTTGAAGAATTCTGACATATCAATAAGAAAAAAAAATCCAATATGAGAATTGGCAAAAGCATTTCCCATAAGAGAAAACACAGATGGCAAAGAAACGTGAAAAATGTTCAACATCATAGTAATGATACGAATGCAAATTAAAACAATGAGATACCACTTTCCACCCACCAGGTTGGAAAAAAAATTTAATTAAATTAATCTAATTAAATAAATTGCCCTCACCAATAATCAGGAAAATTAAAATTAAAACAACAATGAGATAGCATTTTGTATCCTCCCATATTGTCACAGTTTTTAAGTCTACCAATAGAAGAGTCTGGCTTCCATAATAGGGGACTGGCTTGACCAGCCCATGTCCCACAGATAGCAATGATAAAATTTGGACAAAATACAAAATGCAATTATTTGGAGGCACTGAACAGTGACCAAATGTGGGCAGAAACTGGAAGTTGACCCTTGAAAGGAGAGGGCTATACAATGTGAGATTTGCAGCCTTGCAGCTTTTTGCCCAAGGAAACTCCTCAATCCATGCTTTGTCCATGCAAAACAGGAAGCTGCAGTTTTTACTGGCTTGAGATGTTGTAGGACAGGGCACCTGGGTGGCTCAGATGGTTAAACATCTGCCTTCGGCTCAGGTCATGATCCCAGGGTCCTGGGATCGAGTCCCGCAGGGAGCCTGCTTCTCCCTCTGCCTCTCTCTCTGTGTCTCTTATGAATAAATAAATAAAATCTTTTTTAAAAAAAAGTGAGAGATGTTGTAGGACAGAGTTCAGGCTGAGAAAAGTGGCTGGAAAGTTTAGAAGGAAAATTCTGAAAAAGAGGGAGCCACAGAGGAACTGGACCCAAAATCTGTGTATTAAATCCACTTAAATCCTTGGAGGACCACCAAACTACACATACGTGGGAGAGACTGGGTGGTCTGAAAGAGCAGCTGCTGGAGCCAGCAAGAACTACAAGAGCTAAATGGAGAATTTAGCTGTGCCTAGCAAAGATAAGACAGAATATGGAGTTCGATCCTATCCCACGTAACTGCCTGCTAAAACAAAATTCAGTCCCCTTCAGAGGAACATGGCTAAATCCAGAGTGTCTACAAAACAACAACCAGATGCCTAGTGTACAATTTTTAAAAATTACTAGACATGCAAAGAAACAGGAAATTAAAATGTGAGCCACCGTCAGGAGACAAAGAAGTCAATATAAACTGACCCCAAGATGATACAGGTGATGAAATGAGCATACTAAGGACTTTAAAGGAACTATCATAGATGTGGTCAAGAACTAAAGGAAAATATGGTCATGATGAATGAACAGATGTGGAATCTGAACAGATAAATGGAAACTGTTTAAAAAAAGAAGAATGAAATGGAGGTTCTAGAATTGAAAAATTCATAGCATAATGGAGAAAGCAGAAGAGTCAGTCAAGGTTGAAGATAGAAATTATCCAATATGAAGAACACCAGAAAAATGAGCAGAACCTTGGTGACCTGTGGGACAATATCTAGAAGCCTAATGTGTGTGACTGGAACCTCAGAAGCAGAACAGAGAACACACTTTCATGTGGGTAAATAAGTAACAAATCCCCCCAGGCCCCAAGGGCTCTCCACCTACTGCAACTCCCTAGGATCCATGAACTACTGCAAAAATCAGGTGTAGAATTGTTTTTTTCAGGAGTTAGTAACTGACTGGAAAGGCCCAAAGTCTCTTTTTCTCTGGTCACCAGGACTAGACAGGGTGACCTTGTTGGCTGGCTGGTTGGCTGGCTGGTTGGTTGATCTCAGGATGCAAGATGTTTTTCTTTTTACATAACTCTGGGCTGTGGTGTGATGCTTACCCTAACAGCAAAGGGGCAGGGTCCCAGCAGGCTTGCTTCCATGCAGAAGTGAAGGTGTTTTACCCTCTCCTGTATTGGTGTAAATGTTGGGAGAAAGCTCTTTGAGAATTGTGAAGGACTCCATGCCAAAAGCACTAGAGTGGACGTTCTGAGACCCAGGATTGAGAATCGCTGGGGTTCTGTGAAGCTCCCCTCCCCAGAGGTATTTTCCCAACCTGCAATGCAAGGGTGGGTGCCCATGATTTTGAGCTCCTGCCAGCACTGAGTTTTCTGGGATGCTCTCCACGGTGTGCACCTGCCTGGGGCCCTGTTGGGAAAGGATGGCTTGGTTTCGTTACCAGAAAGCCCCCATCCTCATGAGCACACTTGGACACGAGGTATGAGGAGGCAGGATGACGCTGTTGCTAATGGGAAACTCACTGAGTAAAAGGGCCCCCAGGGGCCCTTTTCCTGTTCCAAGCACTAGACGAGCATTAATCCATTTCACCCTCATGGCCCTGTGAGTGCAGACCATTTTATTTTTTATTTTTTTAGAATTAATTATTTATTTGACAGAGAGAGATAGAGCAGGAACACAAGCAGGGGGAGTGGGAGAGGGAGAAGCAGGCTTCCCGCCGAGCAGGGAGCCCGATGCGGGGCTCGATCCCAGGACCCTGGGATCCTGACTTGAGCCGAAGGCAGACACTTAACGACTGCGCCACCCAGGCGCCCCGAGTGCAGACCATTTTAAAACCCATTATAAAGCAGAAAAGGAGACTGAGGCACAAGTGAGATCCAGTAAATGGCCCAAGCCCTCCACAGTGTCAGCAGCATTGGGTGTGCCTTTCCCTCTCCTGCACCTGACTGCAGTCCCTGTTTCAGAGGGAAGCGTTGGGCCCCAATATTGCCCCAAGAAGGCAAGAAGCAAAGATGCTGGAGTAACAACCAGCCCCTCCCAAGGTCACAGGGTCAGAACCTCAGCACTAACCTAGGGGCGCTAATCCCAGAAAAGGGAACTCAATCCCCAAATCCATCATTAAAAAGTAAAGAGGTTGGGCACCTGGGTGGCTCAGTTGGTTAAGCGACTGCCTTCGGCTCAGGTCATGGTCCTGGAGTCCCGGGATCGAGTCCCACATCGGGCTCCCTGCTCAGCGGGGAGTCTGCTTCTCCCTCTGACCCTCTTCCCTCTTGTGCTCTCTGTCTCTCATTCTCTCTCTCTCAAATAAATAAATAAATAATCTTAAAAAAAATAAAAAGTAAAGAGGTTTTGTAACTAAATTTCCTTGTTGGCCAATCGGTGAGGTTGACTTTGAACCCATGGGAAGAGAACACTGCTGGGTAGGCATGCATGCCGCTGCCCACCCCAGCTGTCCCTCCTGATTTCTGCTCTGTCGCTGGGGGTCTATCGTCGTGATGCAACGTCCTGGGCTACTGGGACAGTCTAGGGAGATGCTGTGAGATGCTTCAGAGGGTCCAAAGCGCTGGACGGTGGGGGGCTACAGGTGGCACCCTGGAGGATGTGGCCCGACAGGCAGGACCAGTGCCTCTGTTTCTCTCCCCAGGTGAGCGTCGGGCCGCTCTGCTGGTCACCCGCGCAGCCGCGGCCTTATTCCTGGACAGTGGGGCCCGGGACCTGCTTCGGGACCTGCATGAGGCCTTCCGACAGAGCCCCTCGAGGGCGCGGAGGCAGTTTGAGGCGGTGCTGTCCGCGGGGGACCGAGAGCGCGTGCAGGCCCAGGCTCAGGAGGCAGCGGACATGGGCTTCGCCCACTTCCAGGAGGCCGTGCGGAGCCGCGCTGAGCTCCGCGAAAACTCGGGCCTGGAGCTGCTGGCCCCGGTGACCCGCGCGCTCCGTGTCCTGCTGCGCCTTGCGCCGCCCGGGGTGCGCCCGGCACTGGGCACTCGCTTGGCCGAGTGCCTGCTGCTGGCGGGGGACGCGGCGGGCGCCAGGGCGCTGTGCGAGCGCTTGCTGCGGCCTGCGCGCCCCGGGGACCGTGCGGACTACCGCATCAGGGCCCACACCGGCGACCGCGCGCCCCTGTTGGTGCTGCGCGGCTTCTGCGCGCTGCACGCCGGCGATGCACCGCGCGCCCGGGAGGACTTCCAGGAGGTGGTGGAGCACGCGCCGCCGCACCTGGGCAGCTGCGTGCGTGCGCTGTGTGGCCGAGGGCTGTTGAGGGTGCTGGAGGGTAGCGCGTTCCTGGGTGCGCTGGACTATGTCACCGCCTGCCGCCTGCACCCCGAGGAGGCACTGCTCGTCGCCAAGGCCTACGTCCCCTGGAACCAGAGGGGCCTCCTGCTGACCGTGCTGCGAGAGGAGGGCCGCAGGATGCTGCAGCGGAGGCCAGACCTGGGGCTCACGGGCGCACGGGGCCGCTGGAGTAAGGCTGCGGAGATGGACAGCCCCGAGGCGCAGGAAGGGTAAAAACTAGCCCCGCGCACCCCTGCGGCTACTGCTTCATTCTGGTCTCCTGCGAGGTAGCTAGGGGTGTGTGTCTTCCTTCTTTACAGATGAGTGAACTGAGGCAAGAAGCAGGTGGGGGATTTATCTAAATCGTGGATGGCAGTTGTAGCGCTGAAGCCCAGATCTTAGGACTCCCAGTCACAAAGTGTGATGCTCTGTGGGCCTAACTACCATAGAAAATTAAGAACTCAAAAATGGGAATGAAAAAATACAACTTTCCCGTCCCCCCACCGATAGCACTCCCTTCTAGTTGTTTCTCTCTGAGCATAGAAACTAAACTGAGTGTGAACTCTATGTGCAATTTATAGCCCCCCTTTTTTACTCAGTAGATCACGGACATTTCCTTTGCCTCTGGATTCCTTCTCGGGCACACCCCAATCTAGAGCCCACCCTGTGACCATGCCATCGTTCCTTGACCATTCCTAGAGCTTGCCCTCTGTTATAGCTAAACGCCTCCACAATGTTCTGTCCTGAGTATGGACACAGAGGTGGGGTTTCGGGGTCAGGGAGCGCAGCCCGCTGTGAGGTCCTTGACTTCCGGAGCTGCCCGTCTGCCCGTCTAGCCACGTGCCCAGCCCTGATGTTCGTTTTGGAATTTTTCTGCCAACCTAATGGATGACCCTGCAGCTGTTTTGATTTGCACTTCTCTGGCTGCTGAGAGGTGACAGGGAGGTGTTTTAGCAAAGCTCAAAGCACTGAGCTGGGGGCCTTCTGGGGGGCGTGTTTGATGTCAGGTCTGCTGCCACCACCCACCCTGCACACACACACACACACACACACACTCACTTTCTCTGCCTGCAGGTTGCTCAGTTCAAATTGCTTTGATGTGCTGGTGAGGAGGAATTTCATGAACGAGATTGGGGGCGCTTTATACTTTTTTGTCTCTGGGAATTGTCATAATTGGAGGCTCCAGCCCTTCTCCCAGTGGGAGCTGATTCACATTCCCAGCACACCAGGAGCATTCCAAGTCGAGCCTGTGTGTTCTCTAATGCTGCCTCGAACACACCCCTGAGCCCTGCAAGGCCAACACTGTTACCCCATTTCTACAGAAAAGGAAACACAGGCAGGGTTGGCTTGTGGTCAGCCCACAGATGGAAGCTGTCTTCCATCTGCAAAATGCTTGCCACACGGGGTGGTGGGAGGGTGGGGCAGAGAGTGAGAACCGAGGGATGTATGTCAGAGAGGGCAGCTGTAGCTTCCGGAAACCCCGTGTGTGAGGGTCCTTCCAGTAGGACCCGGGGCTCTGTGGCTGGGTGGGAAGGGAGCTGCCTGGACCAGGTGCGCAGGGATAGAATTTGCCTATGGCCCGCCTTCCTGGGCCGCTGACAGGGGTGTAGACAGAAGCTTGGCTGGCTCTCCCCCAGCTACTCTCTCCACAGGGATGCCCACGGCGTGTACCAGCTGGCCACGCTCCTGGTGGAGCTGGACAGGGAAGATGAGGCTTCAAGCCTCCTGGGGGCTGATGCCCTGTACCGCCTGGGCCGTCTGGAGGATGCCCACAAGGCCCTGCTGCTGGCCCTCTCCCGGAGGCCCCAGGCGGCCCCTGTGCTCGCGCGACTGGCCCTGCTGCAGCTGCGGAGGGGCTTCTTCTACGATGCAAACCAGGTGAGGAGGCCCCGGGGGGCCACAGCAGGGCAGGTGGAGATGGGCCACAGGTGGACGGCACAGGCCTCTGGGCCCCTCACTCTGCACCCCTCAGCCTGGACTTTGGAGCAGGTAAAACGTGTCTCAGCCCTGGGCTCTGCCACCTCCAGCAAGGCCCCCTCACCGCCCTGACCCTCAGTCTCTTCGTCTGTGCTCTGGTCTTGTGGGTTGTCCCGAAATAGCTGGAGCAAGTACCCCAGGGCCCAGCAGGTCTCCAGCATGCAGTAGGTGCTTCATATTTGGTTTTGTTGTGTTATGAAGGAAAATGGCCAAAAGTCAGGTGTAGACTGAGCTCCGACCCAAACCTCCCAAGTAAACTAGGCTTGGAGGTGACCCTGCCTAGGGAGGGGGATGGCAGAGAGGCCTCCAGGTCCTCAGTTCCTGCTCACCTCACCTCTCTCCAAGACCACCCTGCTCCCAGGAAAAGCAGAGCTTCGCCTCCCTCGGGTGTTATGAGGGCTTCGCGTTGGAACCGGGGTCAGAAGGTTATGTTCCGAGGGCTTCGCGTTGGAACCGGGGTCAGAAGGTTATGTTCCAGGGGGAAGATGTCGGGCTTTGAGGCCTGTCAGCTTCTTCTGTTCTGGCCGGATTTGGGTTCCTGGTCCCCCTGCGCTGGGCCACACAGGCGGGAGAGGGAAGGATGCCCAGGAACCGGCCCATCCTTCTGCTCTGGGACCTGTGTCTTCAGCGAGCGGCCAGCAGGGGCAGCATCGGGTCTCTGTGGGACGGAGTCGCTCAGAGAGCCAACGTTATGTCCACCCGGAGTCTCGCTCCACCCAGATTGGGCACTGGTCCCAGCGCATTTGCTCTTCGCCCGGTGCCCTCGGTCACCTTATGATTTGAAAGCCCCCTTTCCCCGCGTTTCTCATTTGGACCTGCAGTGTGTGGGCCGGTGAAGCGAGATCTCCACTTCCATGCCACGGAGGAGGTCCTCCGGCTCGGGCACACTGGGAGCCCCCCCACCCCACCCCCCCCCCCCCGCCGCGCGGCCCAGAGGCGCAGCCCAGAGGAGCAGCCCGGCGCAGCCTCACACCTCCGGCCCTCCGCCTTCCCTGGGCTTAGCGCCGGGGACGCGCAGTCCCTGCCCCTGAGCCAATCCCCGCGGGCCACACACCTGTACGCCCCGCCCCGGGCCCCGCCCCCGGACGCTCCGGCTCTCGGGCCACGCCCCGCGCTCCACGCCCCCGCAAGGGGGGCTGAAGGTGGGGTGGTCTGGGCGTCAGGCACAGGTAGGAACCCGGTGACTGCCCTGTCCCTGCAGCTGGTGAAGAAGGTGGTCCAGGCCGGGGACACGGCGTGCCTCCAGCCCACCCTGGACGTCGTCTGCCACGAGGACCGGCAGCTGCTGCGGGGCCACTGCCACGCTCGGGCCCTGGCCATCCTGCGGGCGCGGCCCAGCGGGGCCGAGGGCACAGCCCGCACCAGGGAGGCCATCGCCTACCTCTCTCTGGCCATCTTCGCTGCAGGTAGCTGCTGACAGCCCGCCCCCGGGGTTCCCACCCTGTGCCAGGTACCTAGGGGCAAGAGGAGCAATGCGGGGGTCAGAGACTGGGCAGATCCAAGCCCGCTCTTGGTTCACGGGTGTGTGCGTGCGCTGGGGCCACTCGCGGAGCACGCCTTGCCCTGAGGCCCTAGCTGTCCAGGTGAGCACGCTAAAGCGTGGGAGAGGGGCCAGACTAGCTGGGACCTGAGCCGGGATCCACCTGGCACCCTGGGCCCTGTGCGTAGGAGGGCTACCCTTGACTAAGGCCATTCTCCCAGCTTGGCCCGTCTCCAACAAGGAGAGGCCCTTCCTGGAAACAGTGGGGTGTCTCTGTATGAGTGTAGCTGGTGTCCCCATTTGCCCAGCCAACCCACCCAGCACCATCCTGGGTGACAGAGCCTCTTGCAGTTGGGCCTTCTTAGCACAGGGTCATAGGGCACCCAGTGTGGAGGGAAGGGACTTTCCCAAGGATGCACCCCGATTTCCTGGGGTGCATGGAGATTCAAAGTGTGGACTTCAGATCAGAACACCAGGTGGACTCCTGGCTCTGCACTTACTAAACATCTCACTTACCTCTTCTCGAAGTGGGTGACAGAGACACTGGTGAGGGGTGGGAGTGAGGATCACGTGAGCTAGTTCATGGACAGCGCAGGCCTGGTGCCTGGTGCAGCAGAGTTCATGCCCTGCACACATTAGTGAGGAAGGGGACATGACCCAGAGCATGCGTCGCTCTGTCCGTCACGGGACAGACTCATGGAGGGAGCGTGGTGGTGCTGTCCTTGGGGAGGGGCTTCGGTGCCCAGCATTCAGAGGGCTCCTCCCTGCCCACCTGGCACCTTCCCACCTTTGACTGTTCCATGTCCAGCCCCAAGGACCCGTCTGCCTCCTGGCCCCTCACCTGGCCTCACCTCAGATACAGCTGCAGCGGCCCCTCCTCTCGGGACCCCTGTCTGACTCTCCACCAGCCTAGATGCCACCCTCGTGGTTGGGCTCCCTGTTTCCCACAGCCAGTGCCCCCAGATCAACCCCATCGGCCCTCCAAGACCGTGTCTTGGTGCCCAGTGGTCTGTGAGCTCCCCAAGGTGGCCTCGAAGCTGGTGCCCCCCTGCCCCACCCCACTGTTGGGTACCAGCAAATGCTGGCTGAGGGCAGACACACTGTACCCACCAAGGCCCAGCAGCGGTCATGTCCCAATGCCATACACCCCCTTCCTCCAGGGAGTCAGGCAGTTGAGTCCCTGCTCATCCGAGCCCGCTGCTACGGGCTCCTGGGCCAGAAGAAGACGGCCATGTTTGACTTCAACTCAGTGCTGCGGGCTGAGCCGAAGAACGTGCAGGCGCTGTGCGGTCGGGCACTTCTGCACTTGGCCCTGGGCCAGCAGAAGGTACCGGGCCCCACCCTCCCCACCCGGGACGGGCATGTGGGGTTAAGAGAACAGTGCTTTAGGGGCGGGGCACCTAGGAAAAACCAGCACAGTTTTCCTTCTTAGCCCAAGCCTAGAGGGAGCAGGGCCAGGCCATCCTGAGTGTGAGACGCCCATTAAAACCCTTCCTGCTCGGGGCTCACATCATCATCACGCCTTCCATGGGAAGAGGCCCACTGCCTCCCAGCCTTAGCATGGACTGTGCAAACCCTGGGGGCTACTAGACACCCCCCTCCCCCCACTTAAAATAACAAGACCTCAGCTGCTTCTTGGGTACCACACCCTGAGCTGTCTGCACAGAGCCTGTGGATTCAAGCAGTCAGCTTGCAGAGACAGGGGTGGGAGGGGACCCGCACTGTCGGGCCCCAGGCAGGTGCTTTTCCCAGAGAAAACCTGCCCGCAGGCGGCCACAGCTGCACACCCCTGGACAGGGGCACTTCTCAGCCAAGAGCAAGGTCACAGGTGAGTGGCTGAAACTGAGTGTCTGCCCTGAGGCTCTGCAGCCCAGAGGTGACCTGCCTGCCAGGCTTCTTAATTAAGGTCTGGAGTGCTAAGAAGCAAGGAGAAATGATCCCAGATTCCACTGAGGTGGGAGCCCCTACAGGTGGGGCTGGCGTCTGCCCCTCAGGATGTCTGACACCCCCCTGCCCGTGGGCGCTGGCAGCCTGATTTCTGTTCCAGCCTGTCGTGGGCTCTCAGTGTGTGCCCCCCTCAGGTCCGGCCATCCCTCCCTTCCCACAGCTCCAGTACACTGACTCACCATGCTCAGCCTCCTGTAGCTCAGCAGATGGGCCCTCCTGCTGTGGAGGGCAGGAACTGGGTCGTCTGCCCCTTCTGGTATCCCCAACACCCAGGCAGATGCCCAGCGGGGACAATTCTGCCGCCCACCCTGCCCTCCTCTCCCTTGCAGGAGGCTGTGGATGACATCCTCTTGGCTCTGAAGCTTGACCCCAGGACAGTGGTCCCTGAGATTTGCTCTCTGAAGCCAGAGGCTCAGGCCCTCATCACCCAGGGCCTCTGGTCCCGCTGCCGGGCCCTCCTGAGCCAGCCTCTGGACACTGGGGCCCCCCTCAGTGATGAGGACGCCCGGGGCCTCCTAGCTGTGGGGGAAGCGCTGATCAAAATCGATGCCAGGCAGCCAAGCGGACACATCCTGCTGGCAGACGCACTCACGGCAATGGGTATGCCCGGCCCGGGTTTGGGGAACGTGGGTGTCTGTCCCAGCCCCTCTCACCCTTACTTCTATTCTGTAAAATGGGAGAGAGAGACCCTGGATTCAGTGCCTCCTGGGGACCCTTTCCACCCCAAATCCTGACCCCTGTGACCTGGTCCCTGTGTGGGGCCTGGGGTGCAAGTGTCCTGAGCTCTCGTTCACCTGTGTGGTATTGCCTTCAGGGAGGAGAAACAAAGGAGCAATTTGGGGTTTCATAAAAGGACCCAGATGATTGGGGCTTCTCATTAGCTCATGCATTTATTCAACAGATGTTTACAGAGTACCTATGGAACCCAAGGCCGTATTGTAGGTGGGCTTGTATCAAGCCCCCATGTGCCCAAATCCCAAGAATATTACAGTCCCAATGTGAAAGGAGAGAGCTCTGTGCAGCCTGCATTTCCCTGACCTGTCACTGTCACCTCCAATCCTGTGGAGTGCCCCCAGCCAGGCCTCCACTGCCCTACCGCCCAGTATATAGTCCCACAGGTGCTCAGGAGAGCCCCCTTGTGGTGACCGCAGTGAGCATGCTCAGAGCCCTGCTGCTCAACCTGGGGGTCTTGCACCCTAGTGACCCCCCCCATGACAGGCTCAACAGGCAAGCTGGGGCTGGCGTGGTGTCACTGTGTCCCCCTGCTCCCGGGGCTGAGCCCCTCCACCAGCTGGCCCCTCCCTGAACCAACACTGAGCAAGAGAGGCTCTGGCCAGCTTCCCAGCATGGTGGCCAGGGTCCCACCTTTCTTGCCCCCTGCCCCAGCACCCCCCCGACTGTCCTTCCTGGATCACTGACAGGCAGCTATGACGAAGCTGGTGCCTGCGTGCAGAAAGCCCTGCAGCCCACCCCATGGTCAGAGGCAGCCCGCGCCCGGCGAGGCCTACTCCGGCTCAAGAAGGGAGACGTACCCGCTGCTGTGCGGGACCTGCAGTGCCTGGCCGAGACGGAGGCCCAGGAACTCAGCTTCCTGCTGCAGCGCCTGGAGACCTCAGAACGGCAGAGCCTCAGCCAGGTGTGCTCCGCGGAGCCATCCCCCCAGTGCCTCCCCAGCACCCTGGACCCCACCGTGCTCAGGGCTGCTGTGCCCTCCCTGTTCCCCTGGTTTCAGTTGGGGGCCAGGGGGGAGACAAGCCAGTCTGGCCATCTTAAACCCCAGCAACCTCCCGGCTTCTCCGCATAAGGCATCTAGGCCACAAGGGACAGGGCCTGGGAGAGAACAGACCCCTCCTCGGAGCTGGCTGAGCCAGCCAGGAGCACCTGGCCCTTGCAGGAAGCCCACACCCAGCCCCTGGTCCGGTGAGAGCGGGGCAGGAAGGCAGCGGGCTGAGGGGGCATTGGGCTAGGTCCACTCCGTCTGGCTGGCTGACTTTCGTTCCACTGTCTATTCAACAAGAATATACTGAGCACCTTCCACCAGCCGCCGGGGGAGCCGCTGCCCGGCCCTGTGGGCCTCCCATCTCAGGGGAGACAGGGTGTGGGTGCCCTCCTGAGTGTGCTGGTATTGAGAAACCCTAAAACAGGCCAGTGGGGGAACGAGGTGGCACTGGAGGCGAAGCCACGATGGGACAGATAGGCCAAGGTGAGGGCCAGAAACGGGCAGAACGTCAGTGCAGCTGCTGTGGATGGAGGAGGGGGCGGCATCGGGGAGAGGTTTCTGGGCCCGGTCCGACAGACGAAGGGGGCTGTGCCATCCACCAGCTGGAGGCAGGAGCCCCAGCACGCCAGGAGGAGAGGGAAGGTGGGGGACAGCACCGAGAGGAATCCCCTGAAGTGGCTGCATTTCACCTGTGCGCGGGGGGAGGGGAGGGACCAGCAGGAAGATGCCCCCAGCACAAGCCTTGGCGTCTGAGTGACTCAGAATCGAACTGCGAGTGGCCTGGGGCAAGTACCTCACCTCCTCACACGAGCGTGTGCCCAGGGCTCCAGGGGGTTCTCTGGGGACCCAGGAAGAACAGAAACCACACGTGTTTCAACCTGGGGGTTTAACAGAGCAGGTGGCTGCACAGGCCTTAGGGGCGGGAAGAGCCGAGAGAGCCCTCTTGGATAATGCTGGGTGACAACTGCCCCAAGGGGAATGGGCCGTCAGGACCTGGACCTCAGAGCAGAGCCCCGAGGAGCGGTCTGGCTGGGGTCTCAGCACGGAGACTGCTCTGGTTCATAGGACGGAGCTAGGTGGAGTCTCTGAGCCTTTATGAGGGGGCCGGGCGGGGGTCTCCGAGCGGAGAGGAGGGGGCACACGCTCGTGTGAGGAGGTGTCCAGGGGGTTCTCTGGGGACCC